GTCTCCACTTGGCAATTTCTATAGATGAATACGTCTCCACAAGGTTTTCACAAAATAGATATATGGATTTTACTCAAAAACTAGGAATTTCCAAGGTATGTTGATCTGTCGCAAATGGTAGAGTTTTATAAAAGGGATATAAATCCGAATTTCAGCCGAGGAAATTAATTCTGGTTAATATAAGAGCATTTTGAAACTATAGGCTACTAATTCAAACTCCAAAACTTTAGTACACGAGAACAAAGAAATGTCTCCACAAGGATACAAATTTCAGTTTGTGTGTTTTCATATGGTGGCCATTATCTTTAAGTGAAGTGACAACAGGGGTCATGGCCCCCCAAAAATGAACCCCTTATTTTTGTGACGTGGCAGTAAAAGCAGGCACTGCATACACCACCATCTTTTCCTTAAAAAAAAATGATCAAAGTGGTCATAAATTGCCTGAGATCATACTACAGAGCATCTAGAATCCAAAAACTTAATTTTTTAGACAACTTTTTGGGGACCAAATTTGTTTTTTTTGGGGGGGGGCCAAAAAATTGTGTTCTGGATCCGCCGTTGTGTGTTGTACCGTACATCGCCCACAACTTAAGTTGCTAATAAAAAAATGGCGTGCAAATACATTGTATAGGCCTCTATGCTTCTAGCCACAGGCTAAGTATGTGTGTTGGATCACGCAAGCCTGCGGTGGGTGTTGCGAATCCTGTGCCAGTCAGTGCACACTAATCCCCTTAGCAAAACAACAAACAATGCAAACCAAGAAGGAAATACTGAATACATAGAACAAGTCGGCCCGAAAAGATTTGGGGAATTCCCTTTTCGGGTCATATAGTAATACCCAGTATGTGCCCAGCCAGCGTTATCCTGACTATCTGTGTCTGCCAAGGCCACCAGACAAAAAAAGTCCCGTTATTGTGCAACTGGATAAAAGTAACAATAGGGTATGTCACGGGTTAGGTATTGGTTTGTGTAAGCTTCAATGCACTTTGTACGGTATGTGTGGGAGCTAGTGGGAGAAGACTTAAAGGTGCAGTCCATCATTTATAATTTGTGCATTTTGTTTGTTTGAAGCAACAAACGTGCTCAAAATCTAAAGAAGGGTGCTGATGAACGACTAACCTGATGAAGTTTCAGCTCAGCTTCAGCTGTATATTTTGAGAAAAACAACATTCTAGGATCTTGATTTCAAAGCAAAATTTGCTGAATCAGGTTTTGAATTGGGGCTGAATTCAGCGTCCGAGACACGTTCTCAATGAACCGATTGCAGCTACGCGATGTCGCGCACTGATACGACGAATTAAAGCAACCGCGCACGCGTGTGCGTTGTGTCAACGCCTGCACGTGCTTGGTGGCCGAATAAAAAAAACAACTTGACTAACGGAAATTTCCAATGGTGCGTCTTAAGACGTTGGAAAGGCCTTATTACGTTGATTTCTTCAAAATGACAGCTTGCCAGAAAGAATAATTTCACAGGGAATTTAGTACCCTTACTATCTTTCAACCAAGTATGTTTTTCAACAATAATTACGTCAGTTACTTTTTGGATAGCTGCAAATGATGGACTATAGCTTTAAAGGATTTTATTTTTTAGGGTTTGTGATGGGAAAAAACACTAGCCCTTTTCCTTTCATACATAATCACATACCGTAGGGTTACAGGCCATGCAGTAAATTAATTGCATACCACAGCTAAATCGTGAATTTGCATACGTCCTCAAATTCTCTGGTGTATAACATTTTGAGGGCCGTGAACTTGAGGGTTTGTAAAAAAAAAAGAAAAAAAAGAATGGTGGAAGCCGTGCAGAGGGCTGTTGTATTTCTTTGAAATTTTGATGAAATTATAGGCCCTTAAACAATGGCTCTATTTTGCAATGGAGCGTAGGCCTCCTTTTTCAAAATGGCGATGGGCTTCAGGACTACTTTTAGGGGGGTCAACTTGAGATGGAATTTTCTCCCAAAAGACGTTGGTTAACCCCCAAAAATAATTCAACAGAAAATGAAGGCGGTGACCTAAGTTTTAATTTGATGTGTGTCTCAAGCACCTTCTAGAGTTGTGAGCAGTTTTAATAATTATGAAATGCGCAAATTATCGCTGAGATCTATGGCAGTTTATTTACTGGTCATTTAAAGATGTCATTTTGTTTCATTGCATTGATTCGGTTTTTGTCTTTCACGTAAAAGTAAAAATGTATCCGTTTACTGTGTATTTGATTGTATTTCTGGATCTAGGGACCCAAGTGGAATGGGGTAAAAAGTAGATTGAGAAATAGTCAGGCTTAAAGTAAACTTAACCCTGCTGAATCCAACAGGATGCAACTATGTCTTACACTCTAAAAAAAGCATAAATCAGATTTGACTAGAAACCAATTAAATTTGACTATAGCCATTCAGGGTCAGCTGGGTGCAACTGAAAATCAGTCAATCTGACTAGATTTTTTCCAGTCAGTATGATTGACTGTATGTAGGAAAAACAGTTTATGCAAATAGCTGAATTTTGAGTCCAACCCAACTACTTTTTCTAGTCATAGTATGAAACTTTGTCTGTTTAACTAAATTCCTAATCAATTTTCAATAACTAGGAAAACAAGTCAATATTTTGGCTTAGTTGTTTTTAGAGTGTATATACCCAATGGAGCCTGTTGGATTGAGCAGTAAACCCCTTGTGTACATTCCTGATGCAAAATGTTGGATTTAGCAGGCAACTGAACCGCGCATTATAACGCTAAGTTGGACTCAGTTGGATTCAGCAGACAATAAGGCACAGTGGATTGAACAGGAAACTCCGGTTGGACTCTGTTAGATTCAGCAGGGTAGTCCTAACGAACTAGTAAGGGGTTAGGGTTAAATTAATGTAATTTCATTGAAGAAAACAACATTTAACAGTTTAAATTATTGTTTTGTGAATGCTGCACTTTTTTGGCAAACTCTGTACATGCTTTTGCACAAAGCAACTGCCTGGGACAGATTATCTGAAAAGTGTAGCTAGCACAATGCTTTTGCCATTGACTGGAGCCTTCGTGATAGAAATGATGCTAGCATGCCCTACCTTTCGGAGAGATAGTAGTCATGTACATATTACACCCATATGGGCAACACATATATTTATTTTAAGTGGCATGTAAACAACACATGGTACAAATACAAATAGCACCATGAACCGGATTTCATTATAGACGCGTTCTTATCTGCTGTTACCGATCATCAGTTTAATGTCCACTGAAGTGTCATCAGATATAAAAGAGAAGAAGAAAATAATTTAAAGGGAAATACAACATTTGCTTTTGCTGCAATTTTCAGAAATAAATGGATTTGGAGGATTAGTATGTTATAAAATATTGTTAAACTGACTAATATTTTGGGCTTGTAGATGCTGGAAAAACCAAGAAAACCTATCATGTTCTTGTAGTCTGATTCCCTGACCCCCCTTAAGATGAAACGAAGCAATTAATACACTTTGGGGAATTGTAAGGTCAGAGAATCAGTCTAGCAGGCTTGTACCCCTTCACAGGTGTGTGATCAATTACAAAGAAAAGTCAGAATAACTAAATATGAAAAATTAAGAACAGTTTTTGATAAAAAGGCAGTTTTCTCCAACGCTGGTCGGCCGACCAGCGTTGGAAATGTTGGAATTTTCTTGAAAATGTCAGCCCACCAGGAGCCACGATTTTACAGGATGCTTTAACTGTCAGTCCATAACAATTCAGTAAGGTATTTCGTGGTAATTTGATCATTTCGTTTTTTGATGTTTGCAAATGTTGTATTTTCCCTTTAACACAACATATTTTGCAGTCGTGTAGCTTAATAAATTTAGAAATGATTAGCCATTATGTTTACATAGTTCATATGTCTCATTGTTAAGCAATTTTTGGAAGCGATAAGTGGTGCAGGATGACATGTACCTTAACATCTACCGGCATCTGCTAAAAACGCCTAGATATCTTTCTTCATTTTGGACTGCGTTTTATATAAAAACAAATTTAAAGTTCAAATTTTAGCAGTGAAAAAAGTGAATTCAATATTGGGTTTTGCCCTTCACCGACCTATTTTATAAACACTGTATACCTAGTGTTGCCCCCCGAGTGAAAATCACTCGGGTGGGAATCAACCCACAACCATTTTACAGCATAGTCAGTAATTCTAACTGTGTTACTGGTCAGTGCTATTAAGCCCCCCCAAAAAATAAGTCGGTCTCTGGTCAGCGCGCGCGTCGATTTTAATTAATGCCCGTCAATCTTTTTTTTTTCCAAACTGTTCCGCGGTAGCTCCAACAGCGCCCTCTATTGCCGCACCTCCTCAATTTTTTTTTTACCAAAGAGCACCAAGGAATGGGAAATTGCACCAAGGCAAATGATCGAGAGCACCAAGGCAAATTATGGAGGACACCAATGTACATGAGGACACCAAAAAAGCAAAATAGTACCCCACCTTGTCTGTACAATCCAAGCTTGAAGAAAAAAAAAAAAAGCCACGTCCCCGCGTTAATTTCGGAACTTTGGTCTGACCAGAGACCAAATTTTTTTTTTTTTGGCTTTAAATTCGGGGGGTGTCGGACTAAATTTGCCGAGAAGTTTGCGTACAAAACCTCCGACAAGCAACAAAAAAAAAAAAGGGTCCTAGAATTTACAAATTTGCCATTAGAAACATTTATGGGAGTTCTCAAAAGTAAAATTTGCCGACAAACTTGCAACAAAATATTTGACAAGTAAGAATTTTTTTTTTTTTAAAAAGGTCCTCAGATTTCGAAATTTGCAGACAACAGTCAAATAATATAAAAAAGGCACTCAATTTTACAAATTTGCTGACAACAATTATGGATTCGCTGACAGATATTTTGAATCGGGGGTGTCACCCCCCCCCCCCTCGCCCCTCCTCCAGCGACGACCCTGATTAAATTTACCCCTAGAATGATTCTGACGACACCCATCCTTGTCATTTTTTATGAGATATTGATAATACTTAAATATGGCCAAATGTAACTTTTTTTTTCTTTTACTGTTTCAGTTCGTCAGATTGATGATGACAGCATTAGAGAGGATGTTGAAATTGGGCCAGCGCCGGCCCGGCCCGATGAGGACTACGGTGGTGACTACGAAGTGACAATTCCCCAGCCGCAGCAAGATTTCGGTATGACGTACGAAGTCGTGCAACCCAGCGCTGCGGCTTCAATCCCTCAACAGGACTACGGTATGTCGTACGAACTTGTGGAACCGCCCCCCGCCCCGCCCCCAAAGGATTATGGCGATACGTACGAGCCCGTTGAGGCCCCAGAGGCGGAGCAAGACTACGACGGGGAAGACTACGGCGGGAACTACGAATTCGTGTCCGCCCCGCCACCGCAAAAACCCAGAGTAGATATAAGCCAACGCAAGCCAATGGCACTCCCTAGTCCTACCAAACCGCATGCCCCGCCCACAAAGAGGAAGCCTTCCCGGGGCGAAGTCTACGTTGATCCCGATAGGCCAAACCAGAAAGGTTGGGGTCAAGCTGCTCAGAACAACAATTCCGAGACGTCCGCCGAGCCAGACTTCGGAGGTGAGTACAGAAACCTTGAAAGCCCTGCAGATGCCGGCCGGACGCACAAGCCGACCACTCGCCCCCCACCGGCGCTCCCCAAGAAACAACCAATCGCGGCGAAGCCAGAAAGTGTCTATCAGCAGGCACTCCAGTTGAGTGATGATGACGCGCCAGCCAGACTGTTTCAAGAGGAGGAAGATAGCATTTATCAGAACAAGGATTGCGTCGGGCCGGCGAGCAGGTACCGAAACGTCGCTCAGAAGCCAACTGACAGTTCTGTAATATCAGGCAGCTATATAAAAATGCAAAGAAAGTAGTTTGACCAAAACAAAATTGCAGTGTTGTAGGCAATTTACTTGTGATGGATCGATCACAGGTCATGTCAAGTCCATCACAATTCCATCACAAGTCATCACAAGTCGTCACAAGTCATCACAAATCCATATCACAAGTCCACCCCAAGTCCATCCCAAGTCCATCCCAATTAAGTCATCACAAGTCCATCACAATTCCATCACAATTCCATCGCAAGTCATCATAAGTCATCACCATCACAAATCACAGATCTGTCACAAGTCCATCACAAGTCCATCACAAGTCCCTCACAAGTCCCTCACAAGTCCGTCACAAGTCCATCACAAGTCCCTCACAAGCCATCACAAGTCCATCACAAGTCCATCACAAGTCCATCACAAGTCCATCACAAGTCCCTCACAAGTCCATCACAAGTTCATCACAAGTTCATCACAAGTCCATCACAAGTCCATCATAAGTTTTACAGTACCAAGTTAATCCACAAGCTACCGTATTCGCATAAATGCACTGTGACATAGGCATTTCTTTTATATTCTTCCTTGGTTGAAATGTACTTCAAAGTGGACTTTTGACAACACAAGTGCTTTGGCTATACAACACTGAAAAGACCGAATTTGTGGTGAATGGATATTATATACCGGTACCGTTAGCCTTTTCACAAGCGCCTTAGAGTCCACAAGCCGATTTCACGAAACTTGTCTCATCTTGCGACTCATCTTTAGGACTTAAGATGAGTCCCCGCTCTAAGATCCATCTAATAGCTAAGACGCATTCTAAGATCGATTTCCCTAAAATCCATCAAAGGCAGATCCAGGGGGCCGGGGGCCAACAGGGGCCGTGGCCCCCCAAAAAACGATGTTGACGTTGCAATAGAGGCATTGCAAAAAGTGACGTTGCAATAGAGGCAGGCACTGCGTACACCACCATCTTTCCCTCAAAAAAATTGGTTAAAGGGGTCAGAAATTGCCTCAGATCGCGCCACAGAGCATCTAGAATCCAACAAGATTTCAGGGCCCTTAAGCAGGCCCCAAACCCCCTGCTGTAAGTTTTTGGACCCACATTTTGGGGGACAAAAAAAAATGTTTGGCCCCCCCCCCAAAAAAAACATTGTGTTCTGGATCCGCCCTTGAAACCCATCTTTAACAAGCAAAATTGCATCAAAACTACCAATTTGAGAGCTGTTTCATTGTTATTTTTCCGCTTGACGAAACAGTCATTGAAAAGAAATGCGCAAGGCTGTGATTCACTAAAAGTCCAGTAAGGTATTTCATAATAACTCGATAGTTTTGTTTTTTGATGTTTGCAAAATATTCAAAAAACAAAACCTTGAAACCCTTGAAGCCCATCTTTAGCAAAATTACATCAAAACTTCCAATTCGATAGCTGTTTCATTTTGTTTTTCCGCTTGACGAAACAGTCATTGAAAAGAAATGCGCAAGGCTGTGATTCACTAACAGTCCAGTAAGGTATTTCATAATAATTCAATTGTTTTGATTTTTGATGTTTGCAAATGTTGTATATTACTTAAAAATAGGCCTACCGGTATGTGTGTGCATACAGAACACACCTCAATGCTCATGTACAACTTTAGCAACACTTTTTACTTGTAAATACTGACGTCCTGCATAAGAGAAATTCTCAAAAAGGGTTTGATTAGAAATTGTCACATAACCCACAAAGGGGAAATTGACACAGTTTCCTGTTGTAGATCAAAATTCATAGAATTTTAAACTAGGGAAATGTTTTTAGCTGCGGGATAACAGCTCAAAAAATCATCATGTCTCTTTGTCAGTCCGTTCATTAGTATTAACAAACGTTGACATTGTCTATTGTGCCTACATTTTTTGACCCATTTCAACCAACCTTTGTCAAAAGTATCAGTAGCCCTGCCCCAACATGACACATGACCAAACTGGGGTCAAAGGTCATCATGTGGGTCAAACATCTGATTTTTTTAAACTCAAAACACTCTAAAATTACATGGAAGAGTCACATATGACTGGTACATGAACATGAATTTGTTGGTCCGCAGCTTTTGATATAATATTTCCGATTGAGTGTATTTTTAAATGTGCCAAATTTTCTGAAATTGAATATACAATTGCATGTACAAATCTTAAATGTGTGATTATGCAGTTTTAAAATTTTAACATTTAATGTTTATCGTAATTTCATATTGGAAATTGCAAATGTATAACATGTATACTAAAAAAAAAATTACATGTATATAATATGAAGGAAATAATGTGTGTTTTTCATTTTGTTGTTGTGAAATATGTACAAGAATTGTGAGAAGTACATTTAATAATATTGAACAAATTTGTGTGAATTTTGAGAAAATATTAGATGACGGTGAATTTAAAAGTGCATCAAATGCTATTACATGTAATATTTAGAAAGTGTATTTTCAAACAGAAGTTTTCTACTCAGTTATAGAATAATCTTGAAACCTTTTCTGGACAAAAGCAGCTTATGTACATAATGTTTTTTGTAGAATATCATGTATGTATATCAATTATCAACACGGAAAAGCAAAGCTTTTTTTCGGATAACTTGGTAGTGAATTAAACTGTGCATTACTCAGTACTAATATTTTTATATGCAGAAATTTTGGCATTTGCCAAAAGTGTATATACGTGTATCAAGTAAAAAAAAAAATTTACAGTCAGAACCCAGAAGGCTTGGGGTTATATACCCAAGCAAATTTGAATCATTTTTTGAAGATCAGATTTTCAGAAAGTTTTCACAAAAATGGGAATTGCTTAGGGAAGTGATCTGAAATTTTTGACAAATATTTTCCTAACACTGTTAAATTCATAAAATGTTTGTTTAAAAAAAAAATTGTTGGGCATAAGGGTTAAATATTCCACTGTAGAATTGTGTTAGTTTGAAGAAAAACCGCTCATATAAAAAAGAAAACCACGAAGCAGCCTATCAAAATCATGTTACATTATTGTTTCATAGATAACCTGTTTGTTTGTATAGTAAAATATTGATTTTTGTAATTTATCCAGGATAGAACAATTGCAAAACGGGGTCATTTTATAAATTTGGGTTCCATTTTTTTGTCCTGTCCCTGTTACATCTGACATCTGTGATTTTTTTTTTCATTCTAGATACTCTCCTTAATGCAGTCGTCCTCCACGACTGTTTATGAATAGCAAACTACCTACCCAACAAATACACCGCTCAACCAAAAAAGAAAGTCCCCCCCTCCATACTTTTGTGTCTAACTAAAAAACTACTAGGCACATCTTGCTCAAACTACGACTGATCAGTACAGAAATTCCTTAGCAATCCAGCTATACTCTTTGTTTGGCCCAAAACAGTGATAGTGTGTAAAACATTATGCATTTTATGACAAATGGTACCGAGAAAAAGTTGCACTTTTGTATACGTGCAAGGCCAAGGTGAGTGTGAACCACAACTTGCACGTATACAAAAGTGCAACTGTTTTCGGTTTCATGTGTCATAAATTGCATAAATTCGTACGCATTATCAGTGTGTTGGGCCAAATAGAGAGTATGGCTGGATTGCTACGGAATTTCTGTACTGATTAGTCGTTATTTGAGCGAGAGGTGCTCAGTGGTTTTTGAGTTGGACAAAAAAGTATTGGAAGGGGGGACTTTCTTTTTTAGTTGGCTGAGAGTACAAAAACCATTGAATTTTCATTCAATGATATAGCTTGAGTAACTCCAGATCCAATGCTCATCAGGAATTCGACATGTAGAGCTGGAGCTAAATTTATGTTGTAGATCACAGATTCTAAGCGGCCATACAAAAAAACGGGACTCTCTGTATCTGTATCACAAAAAATTGTCCCTTTTACCTGTAGTGTACCAACCCAGATTCCATTAAAACATACCTCATTACATTTAATGGGATCTGGGCTGGGAATTATAGAAGGAAAAGAGACATTTTCGTGACATTTTCATTTTACAGAGAGTCCCGTTTTTTAGGGCCTCTTAGAATGTAGTATCTACAACGTAGTTGTAGCTCCAGCTCTATATGTCGAATTCCTGATGAGTATTGGAGCTGGAGTTACTCAAGCTGCTGCTACAATGACACCAGAATTGCAACTTGCAAAGTATAACAGGGACAGGAAAATGCCTCACAGCCCATACCTTGGACCCGAAATTTATAGAATGACCCAATTAAGAATTAAGACAGATTAATTAAGAAAATTAAGACAAATGTATATTTACAGAAAACATTGGTAGCTCTACTTTGGCTCGGTAAATTAAAAGTTATTAGGATGATTTTTTTTGGGGGGGTACAAAAAGTTGAGAAAATTAATGCTCTGTTTATGTTGTTGGTAAATGATACCTTTGAACAAAAATATACATAAGAGAAGTAATTAGCCATTTGCGAGTTAAATTTGAATAAAATCTAGAACGCTGACTTAATCCAATGCTTTGCACATTTTAACTTTGCATTCTTCCGACCACTGTTACTATATCACGTGATTCGGGGCAAGCCTTATGCTAGCAAGCTCCAGCATGGTCTGGTTCTGTGTCTTTGTGCCATTCTCACCCATTGTGAACAATGTATTGGTGCTGAGCGTCTCTAATAATGTAACTATGTAAGACTTGCCCCGAATCATGTGATTAGCAACAGTGTTTTGGTCTGGCGAATTCAAAGTTAAAATGTGCCAAGCATTCTGAGCAAGTCAATGTGCCAGATTTTTTTCAAATATAAATCCCAAAGGGTATAGGTCACTCGCAAATGCTCATTGAATATTGATAGGCCCTACAGGAAAAAAGCAGCTTCCTTTATACATGTATTAATTTGTGATGGATTGCTTTGCCAACAAGTTTCTATTGCAACACGCGCAACTGAAATTTCTACAATTTTGTACTTATTTCCTTGTTTGTTCTACAATGTATCACGCGCAGCTGAAGTGAGATTGAAAGTCAGTTGTGAAGCTTGATATTTCCGTTTGAAAACAGTCTTAAATTACTTGAAGTTGAAGCAAAACATAGATATGCAATGTGATTCTCCTTGCAATATGACAGGCTTTCGCTTTCAGTAACTTGAAGTTACAAAAAAATGTGTGTTCGTTCTTAATGTGAGGTTTGGAACACCTTTAGTTTCGTTGTTTTTTAAGTTTTCAGTAAATGTGATGTATATGAGTTCTTCTAAAGGGCCGTGTTGTAAAAATCTACTATTGAAATTTTGAAACCAAACCTTTTGTCTCCTTGTAGCAATATAGCTTCACTTTCAATCTGGATTTTTGCCAAGGGTGTTTGAGTGTCGTATTAACTTTTGATGCTGATACAAATTTGAATATTCATGAGCGTAAAACAGTGGTACCACTGTACCTTAGGCGGAAACTGTAATGTTACAAATATTTCAATTCAACAAAATTAGATGTGTGTGTGGGTTTGTTCATGTATGGCTTTACGATGGTGGACAGACACTCAAAGGGAGAACAAAAATCCTTTCAGTCCTCGTTATGTGCTTAGTCTATATGAGAGTGTTATATTACAGGGACAGAATGAAACACAAAGCATTGTCCTCGGGCGTATAGAAATTCACGACTGTGTGTTTGCAGTTAACGTTGTCAGGTACTATTAACACTTTTAACGGATACGAGTGTAATCTTAAACAAAATTAATTTACACGGGGCTTTCTGCGATTTCTGATTTACATTATAACTTTAATATGCAATAGACTATTCTGAACTTTATGAATGTCAGGACTTTATTATAGCGCTGCATATGCATATTGTATCATGCATATTTGTACCTTATTTGCATAATAATTAGTATTGGCCGCATGGGAATGTATATTAATCTTTATGCACGAGTCGGCCATATTAAATTGAAAGCGAGGTAAAATCTTCATTTTTTGGAACTTGCGAATAGAAATGAAAGCAACTACATGTACATTAACTTATTTACCGTAACAGTCTGCATGGATGAATAATTAAAAATTGTGATTAAACACCCTAATGTTGAAGCCACATTTAAAAAAAAAGTAAGGCTTGGAACGCATAAATAGTCTGGCACCATCTTATTCAACACTTATTTTATATTGTTAATAAATACATTCAGGGAACACGATCAAAATGGCTTCCTTCTGAATAAGGTGATTTGGTTGTGTGAAATATATATTTGGAATTGACAATGTAATTCCGTAAAATACTACCCGATTAATTAATTATACATGTACTTGATGAATATGCCGTAATTGATTGAAATAATAACTCTAAATTATAATTATGCACTAATTTGTTCTCCAGTTGCGCCAAATATTTTTTCTAACTCTTGTTATTTTGTTACACAGTGAATACGTTTGTAATAAAAGACCGATCTTTTGAAGAAAAGTTGGAATGAATAAACATTCGGACCGCCATTTTGTTGTACATTTCCTGAATTATTTAACAACAATAATAGTGTGTTTGGAATACAGAATTGTTTGGAAACTTTCATCAACACCTTAGATATATAATACTCAATCACTCGATCTCTAAATCAAATTGTTTATCATGAAGGGTTTAATTTAATTGAGTAGAATGATTGCAACAGAAGAAAAGTCTACCAAAAAAACGAAAGTACGAACAGAGGGCGCCCGCGCAAATTTCGAAAGTGATGCATAGCACGTGACTGGTTTTCAGCTTGTGTGTGAATGAGGGCGCTATCATAGACTGGTTCCTGCTGGCGGTGTTTTGTCTGCAGCACAATTAATCGTCAATGGTCATGATTATTCAGCTGTTCGATGTTTATTCATAAGAAAATAAGACGTCACACCATTGCTATCACTCATTCATAAATGTACTATTAAATCATTTCAGAGGCTTTCGTCGAGCTCACGAGGTGCCACATGCAGTGGCCTAGTGGATAGTGTAATCATGGAGGTGTTCTTATTCCTCCATGGTGTGAACTATGGATCGCGAGATCTGTGGTTCGAACCCATGGGCTTCCTGCTCTCCCGATTTAATTCAGAATCCTGGATGGAGGGACTGGGAACCAGTCTATACCCACCACAGACATGGTACAAACAGAGGTGAATTCCTGATGACTGACTTTAGTTTGTACGTCACTATAATTCAAAAATTATTTCTTTAACAAACTTTAATTTTGAGATTGAAGTGAAGTCGCAACATTGCTCCGATTTAACGGGGTATTTTTCTTTTTTGGCAACCAGAAAATGTCCATAACAGCGCCCTCATGCGAAAACAAAATATGGCCTGTCCTTAAAGAGGGACGAACCTGTGTTCACAGGAACGGAGTTCCCATCTCTCTTTTTTAGCGATTGGGCCAGTCTCATATGCTGCTGTGGGGGAATCGCCACACCTCCTGCACAGCGAGTCAATACCTTCCCAGCATTGAATAATGCCGGTACCCATTTAACACCTGGGTTGAGAGGAGTAATTGAGGTAAAGCGCCTTACTCAAGGACACAACACGCATGGCCACGGCGGGGCTCGAACCCACAACCTCACGACCATGAATCCTGTGCCCTTACCAAGTTAGACCACACGTGCCCTATGTGCTGTCCTTATGAGCAGTATATCTGCGCACCTGTTTTGTGACGTCAGTTATGCAAAATATGCCTTAATTGCTCAATCGACCATTCGCGCAATTTTATAGTAGCCAATTCCCCGGCACGCATATAGCGTCCACATCAACGAAGCTTTTCCTTGCGTGTTTCGCATGAAATGTTTGAGTGGACCCGAAGTGCAGCAAGCGGACATTTTTACGCGAGTGAGAGCAAAAACAGAACAGTTGTCTTTTGAGCAAGTATCACCTCCAAAAAACATCCTCAAGAACATCTGAAATTCTCGCCGAGAATGGACCGACTGTGTTTTTCCAGGACAGGTATGCCGTTAGGCCCAGCTTTACAACTGTCAATTTTGACAGTGACTTTCCTATATTTTGTCGGTGTTGGTGGACAGATTTCATCAACATCTCCTTCAAATCTCACCCTTGCTGCATCAAATAACAGGTAAATTTGGATTTTAAATTTTATTATTTTTCAATTTCATTCACCGTCTATTTTGTTAATACCGTGTTAATAGCACACAAATTACATACCAATGTTCACCATTTCACCATCCGAGTGTGCCAAAAAGTGCAACATTCAGAAAAGAAATAATTAAAGCTATTCATTTTTTTTCTTCAATGAAATTATATATTACATTAAAGCCTGACTATTTTTCAATCCACTCCTTTTTACCCCATTCCATTTGGGTCCCTAGATCCAGAAATACAATCAATTAAGTGAAAGGGTGTCAGTTTTACTTGGGCCACTCTCACCTGTGATGTCACGAACTTCAATGTCTATACAATGCTTAACCCAGATTCATCATGACCAGTTGAGAGTGGCCCAAGTAAAATGTACACCCTTTCACTTAAATAGAAAACGTGTGTGACATATTCACTTGTTATAATGTGAACATAATAAGGGTCTTGGAAATACACGTCACCATAAAAGCCACAAATTCATCTTTATAATTTATGAACAGATTCATTGTTTGGAAAAACCGTTACGCCTTGATGAATGTGTCCCACTTTAGCTTCCACCCTGTCAGGCAATAACAACAGCGGTCACTATAACCCACATGTACATGTACATGTACAAGGTGGTGAAAAAAGAAGGAAACCAACTTTTGACAGCAATTTTCACCCACTTGTTGAGCATATTTCAAACATTCAATTTAATGGTATTAAAATATTGATTTTAAGCATAAGTGACGAAAAAAATGATTGCAAATACATTTTTTGTCTCTGAGATATGGTAATTTAAATATTAATTTTCATGTGCCTAACCCGTTTGTCCGCGGACGGCTTTATTCCATCCGCGCTTGACTGAGCTCCGGAGCTTGATTTAAAGACAAAAACACTACACTAGACTTACACGTGGACAACAGTGTTTTTGGTGACTTGTATTCAAATTAGCATAATTATGAAGCCCGGGAAGGGACAGGGTGGAATTTTTTTTTGGCATTTGCTAATTCGTGGGAACGAATTAGTAATTCGTTCGCACGAATTACTAATTCGTGGGAACGAATTAACAAACTCCAGTAATTCGTTCGCACGAATTACTAATTCGTTCCCACGAATTACGAATTAGTAATTCGTGCGAACGAATAAGGAAATTCCAAAAAAAATTCCACCCTGTCCCTTCCCGGGCTTCATACAAAATAAATGGCGTACGTCCTGATATTTCTAGCCCAATTATATCGTACTGTGCTGGTAGAGGCAGGTTGATATTGACACAGAAAAGAAAACACCGTTTAGCAAGCACCAAAGTGGCCTGCAAAATTAACTTTGCACTGTGTTGCTGAGCACTATTACCATTTCTATGAACACTGTGATGAAATATGTGAGCCCACCCGACAAAGTGAGTCGGAGAAAGCCAGAGCTACCTTTGACTAAATATATTCCCCCCCCCCCCCAAATAATGCAATGCAAATCGATATTATAACAATCACACATTTTCAATACCTCTGGTTCTTTTCAGAACCATTCTCTTAGTTGAGAAATTATTCGCACATGGTGTTTCCGCAAACCTTTCATTATTTAGTATCTCCACCATGCAAAGCCTCAAATCTTACAGACATTTTCACCCAGGGAAATATCAATCTGGGTGATATATGAACGCGAGGAGCACAGTATGCTCGTTCTATCCCACTTAAAAAAAAATGATAAGTGACATAATGTCCTCAAGTGATAAAATGTCCTTAAATGACAAAATGTCCTTAAGTGGCAAAATTGCCATTACGTTAAAAAATATCAGGTTACAAAGTGTCCATAAGTGACAAACTGTTTCTAAGTGGCACAATTCTCTTAAATGACAAAATTGTGTACGATCCGGTCGTAAAGTTATCTGCATCCTATCTCACAAAATGTAACATGATGAGCTCGTAAATTCTGCATCCTGCTGCATTAGTGTTCCTGTGGTAACCACATTCATTATGGTCCGTCGAGTTCAATTAAGCTCGTCAGTTTTATATTATGCCATGCACTGCTTGTTTTCAAGCATGGGCGTCGCCAGGATTTTTTGTAGAGGGGGGCAAAAAAAAATTTTGCCAAAAAAAGCTTGTATTTCTCAACACATTCTCGATTTATCAGTTTTAGAGGGGGGCAGGGACATTTTGCCCCCCCCCCCACTCATTAAATTTACACCACTTTGTCTTCGCGCCTCTTTTTCTTTTCTTTTTTTTCTTTTCTTTTCTTCCTAATTTTTTTTTTTTGCTTTTCCGGGGGGGGGGGGCAAGTGCCCCCCCTCGCTACGCCCATGTTTCCAAGCCATTTCTCCTCTCACACAAATTTCGAGTGATTCGTTAAATGATTTGTGACTGGCATTCGAGTGACAAAGTGACGATATGTCGGTAAGTGACAAAATGTCCTGAGGACCCATTTTGTTAGATTCGGTCACAAAATAGTCTGCCTCCTATCTCACACAATATTTAACATAATGAGCTGGCAGAAAGCACCTTTCTGTTTTCGAGTTTCCACGGTAACCACAATGGCTCATCGAGTTCAATGAAGCTCGTCAGCAATAGAGCCTTTCTACTTTCACAGTATAATCAATATCTCGAGTGTTCCTCTACTGTTTTGATTTCTACGGAGACCCGGGGGGGGGAGGGACATCGGGGATAATTAGGAAGAATAATGTTCGTATTATACGTATGCATCGGGGATAATTATGAAGATTTATATTTTGTATTACACGTATACGTATATGCAAAACGAGGCACAAATCTTCATGCCTCGTTCTCCCCTCTGGGTCTTCCTAGAATTCTTTGATTGTCAGTCTAAATTACAAAATCTAATTGGTTTTCTCCCCCCCCCTCCCGTTTCAGTGTGCAGAGTGCTTTCAGCATCGAAGACGTTCTAGCCCAGTATTCAGGCCAGTCGACGCGCCCGAGTGAGAAAACTGGTATACGATCTTCATTTTCGTCTGCACTGTGTTTTTGTGGTCACGTTTGATTTGTTTCCTCTTTTTTGTGGAGTATGTTTTTTTGGCTGGATTCCTCGGGCCAGCCAAATGTCTTCTAACCGACTGATTTACTGTCTGACCGTCTGGCCGATTATAAAACATATTCTAAACTGAGATTCTAGGGCCCAGCTCAGGGACGGATCTAGCTTTCAGGAAAAAAAAGGGGGTTGAGTGAAGACAGTGAAGACACGCCTTGATAGGGAGTCCGGGGCGCGGCTTGCCCCGGAAATCATTCAAATACAATTTGATAACATTAGCATTACATTTATTATTTTTTGGCCCAATTTTGGCGATCGTGTAGGCCTATCTACGGGCCCGGTTCCTATTAGGGAACAAAATCCACTTTTAAATTATTTGACCTACTAAACTAGTTGGCGACATTAACAACCTGCAGGTATCATCGATAAAGGGCAGGGTGTGAATTTTTGAGGGAAGTTTTGGGGTGAAATGACGATGGCAACGACAAAATGCAACGCCAAAAATAAAGATGGCGACCACCGCGTGATGTACCGTGAACGCGCAAGGCGCGCTGAATCGCACGGCACCAACCACAAACCGCGTAGGAAAATCGTCATTTCTACCCCAAGAAACTGTTCAAGAATTTAAGAGGAAATCTCACAGTTATTGCACATCTCAAGTAACACAATAACTATGTCAGCCAGGAAAAACAATACCACTGCATGCGCCAACTTAAGTCTCGTACACAAAATAATTTGCAAACTTAAGATTAGAACTTGCAATGGTGACCATGCACACATGTTGACTTACGAGTGGTGTACGCAGAAACTGAAATGTTAAAAGTAGGGTTTACAATTCCATTTTCAAACCATCCATTTATAATGCAAACAGGGGCCATGAAAATGTTCTGGCTCACAGAGACACGTTTTGATTGTTCTGTTGATTATTCCGCAGAGAAAACCTTCTAGTAGCCGTTTAAATGTTTTACTCTTGTCATATCTTAAGACGAAATATCACACACGAATCTGTTCTGTTTGAATAATGCTCTTTTGATATTGATGCACTAATGCTTTGTTAATGAGTTAATCACCTTTCTTTATTTTGCAATTTTCTTATTTGTCTCGGCACTTAGATCATTTATCAGATCGATATCTTGTTACGTAATCCACTTTCTGACGACAGTGAATTTTAATGAATTCGGAAGTACGACCGATCGCAGCAATAAAGAAATTACAACAAAAGGTTTACAAGAGGGATAATTTCCAGTGAATAATTTACATTAGGAAAAACGTTGGTCAAAATATGGAGACATTTTAGATATGGGAATTATTTTGTATGTGCATAAGTCTGTGATAATATCTGCCTTAGTATACCACTTTCGGTAATTACAATACATGTTCATGATACATTCGGGGACATTTTGTATTTATTACTCACACTGGATATTAGGGAGATGTTTCCCCTCCATTATGTCCAATTAAAGCATAAACAAATAATTTTGTAAACATGTTTCGCTGTTTGAAGTGTAGAGAATAGCAGCTCCTATGTACAACTGATTGAACTATTCAAAAATAGATGGATTTAAATCATGTTCAGTTCTCGGATTTTGAATTGTTTATTCAAATTGTTATCGGAGAAAAGAAAACGGGTAACAAAATAGCAAATATATAATAAATGCATGGTTGTTCATGCGGAACCCGTAACGATGGCGGGTGAATATATAAATTAATTTTTAGGGCAATTACTAGTTGCCTAGAAACGCCGGGTAGATAATGCAATGCGATGCATAAAGACGGACACTGGTTCTCTGACGTGCGAAGCATTAATGTTTTTCTCTCCCAATTGCGCAAAAGGTGGCGTGTTGGCAAACCTTGTACGTTTTGTATAGCGATTCTGAAAAGAGTTAAGAACCTATATTTCATGCCCAATTTTGGCACTTAGTTACTTGTTTAAATACGGGAATAAAATGATTTAATGATTTTTATTTTCAAAAAAGTATAAATTGACATTATAATCTTTAATAATTGCACTTCCGGTAACACCGGAAGTGAGGGTCACATGGCCTTAACATCTCTGCGGGCACACCTTCAGTACACTATGATGGAATATGCATAGAAGTGGCATCATACCTTCCCATATTGCGGAGATATTATGATGGGCACAAGATTATCGAAATAAATATTTGTGACGTCATAACATTAGACCAATAGGCTGCAAGGTAATGAATGCAACGTTAAGGTATCAACCCCATCAGATTGATAATTAGTCTAAAAAAAATTACTGGTTTAATTTTTCTCTCTTTTAAGGACATCCCGATGACGTTTACTGTGGCGTGAAAGACATTCACCTTGATGCTGTAGACGAAGCCAAAATGGTATGGAAATGAATCCTTTAAATGTAGTTTTAACAATACTTCATGTTTTCATCCCGGCAATATAAATACAAGGTTTTATTTTACATAATGTGTGGTGTGGCGAGCGGAGGGGGGGGGGGGGCAAAATTTCAAATGGCAGCCCAAAACACACCCCACGTATACGTTTCCCATTATGCCATCCGTACTTACCTCACAAGATTCTGTGAAGCGGCATCAGCCCTTCCCAGCGCCCTGTTTGCAGGGCGGGGGCTCCCAGCGAAAGGGTATGCTACATTTCAATGCTTTTTCATCTAGACCCTTTTATGGATAGCTGCCAGATCGCAGTGAAGGTATATGTTAAGCTGCATTGTGGGACAGTTTTGCGCTATAGCGCTACACAGAATCGCCATTCGTAGCGCCAATATCCCAGGATGCAACGCGCAGCATACCTTCGCATACACTTCTTATATCCGTAAAAAAAGTCTTTGAATCTCGAAGCACACACCCATTTCAAACCTCACCTTAAAAGATCGCTGGTCAGATTTGAAATTGACCCGGAATTTGGGTTAAATTTAAAGTTAGCCTGACACTTTCCAGGGTCAATATTAACACTTTTCGGGGTCAAAATTGCCATTCTCTGACTCCATGTTCCCGTTCATGTTGACCCAGACACCTCGAGAAGTGTCAATTATGACTCTGTAAAGAGTCAGGCATGTCAGGCCAATTAGAATCCGGATAGCGGGTCAAATCCGACAAAAAGGACTTCTAACCATGTACCACAATTCACGACGGTTTTCTCCAGGAGTTCACGATCACTGCTACCGTGGGACTGACCTGGGCAGACCCCCGTCTCCAGAGCCTTCTCCCCGCCGACTCCGACACCATCTACGCCATCCGCGGCGCCGACATCGACCGGATCTGGTTGCCCGACCTGTACTTCCCGCTACTGAAGAATGGAGACTTCCACAAGATCACCTCGACCAACAGGGTGGTGAGGGTCAGCAAGCACTTACTGCATGGGGTGATCTACCACATGAGGTAAGACGCCGTCGACCCGGTTCGATTGTGAGTCCCCAATGTGAGTCAGATGTGCCTGGGGCTGAGTGTTATGATCACATCTTAAGAGTGTGCGATACTCTCCGAGGGGTACGTAACACGTGTAACAGGTGTTTTCCCTTTTGTTTGGCCGAAGGGATGTGAACTCCCTTTAAGGAGATTGTGCCCTTCGAAAGGCGAGTTCCCTCGGGGTGTGCGATTCGTCTCGCTATAGAGTTTGATCATCTTTATGGTTAGAGAGCCTTCTTTTAGAGGTGTGATGGTACCTGTGTGAGGAGGTGGGTCCCTTCTCAGTTAGCCCCAAAGGGGGCTGACATGTGTGCCTCTCTTAATTAGGACTTGGAGGGCTGTGAATCCCCTCTAATGGGTTAGAGCACACGAAGGGCATACTTTACCCCTTCTCTGTGAGTAGTTGGACCGCACTATAACAGGTGTGGTGCGAGCCCCTTTGGCGCGGAGAGTCCCTCCAAGGGGTGCCTTATCCTCTGAAGAGCCTCTTCAGATGGAAAGTGAGCCCCTCTTAGGGTCTGAGAGGTTTGACTTCCAAAGTTGTGTAAAGCCCTTTTTGAAGGGTGTGAGCCCCATTGGGAGGTGTTTTCCCTCTGAGTGGGTTAACCTACGAAGTGGGTTTCAGCTACCAGAGGTGTGGTGTGATCTCCTCTATAACTCCTTCAAGGGATGTGCTCCCTTCTTAGAGGTTATAAAGGATATGTAAGCTACCTCTGAGTCATACCTCTGAGCTGTGTGAGCAACCCTCCCGACCGAGGGCTGTTATATAATGGCCTCTGGAGTAGTTCAGTTTCATCAACAGGGATGTTGAGTCTCTTCAATTATAGTGTGAGCTCCCTGCAAAGGTGGTAACCACATAACTCCCAGTGTACTAGCTCCATATCTGAGAGTCACATCAACTAAACGAAATCACTGTTCACAGGAGATCACTGTTCACAGGAGATCGCAGGGAAACCTTTTCAAATTGAGCTGTCAAACTCTGACCTTCACCTTCTGCTGTTATTTTCATGGCAGGTTGACTCTGACCCAGTCGTGCCACATGGATCTCTCCAATTTTCCCTTCGACACGCAGAAGTGTGACACCCTCATTTCATTGTGTAGGTTGATTTTTCCTTCATCTTCATTATTTTGGTTTAGTATTTCATGATATGCATCCTGAGTCTGTAAATGCAAAAGTGAAATATTTGTAAAAAAGTTGAAATAGCAAATTTGCCCTATTGTACTTTCATGCCGTTGGCTTACGTGATACCTTTTGTTTCGTATACCTTCGTACCAATGTTGCCCTAATGTTCAATTCATTATTATATAGGGTTTTGCCTTTCACACGACGTGATTTTCCGACAATGACGGTATACTCATTGTTATTCCACAAACTTACTAGGGTGGGATTCGAACCCACGACCTGCTTTTGCAGACGTCTTATACCACTCAACCACCGAGCTTGCCTGATCGGCAATCCAGTTCGAATCTGATATTGTAACGGGTTCCACAAATTTCCAACTTGACACTAATGCTGCAATGTTTTCGTCAGTTTCCTATGTCGACAGCGAGCTGAAGTTGCGCTGGAGGTATTCACAGCTCATTGAGACCGGGTCTAGTATCCAGCTCAACCTGCCCCAGTTCAGCCAACCCACAGTCAAGGCCACCGACTTTGCTGTTACGGGAATCTACCAAGCGCAGGAATCAGTGCAATTCAACTTCAGTACGTAATGTACTTTTCAACTTCGATTCCAATCGTTCGACAATAATATTTGGCAAATTGCATTCTGCATCTAAATAAACAAGAGAAATGGAAGTCGTTACAAGGTTGGTTATAAAAGACTTTTTATATGCCCCAGTATAATTACAGTCTGTCTTTTATACCGAGACGAAGTTCGTGTGAGTTTTTCTGACCACGTATTTTTAATCGCAGAGATAGTCAGTGAAAGACCTGTTATTATCAAACCTCTCTACAAATTTGACAACAAGGCTTGCAAATGCCGACCGACCGGCTCAAATCTTAGCCTAAGTCACGCCCTTCCTCCATTGTCCTGATCCACCCAAGATACCTGACCCAGTCTCTGCTAATTCTCGGGCAGTGTTTCGGTCGAGGTAAGGATCACAAGTACATCACAAAATGAGGTCACAATGAAATCACAAGTCACGAGTAATGGGGGGGGGGGGGGGGAGGGGGGTTGTGACCAATCACAAGGGATAGTCTTCTTTCAACAATGGACCGATCCAGTAAGCCCCTCCCACTGCGCACGTGGGCAAATTAACGCGTGCTCCTCTCCCATGCCACACTGCATTTTCCTGCCGCGCGCATATCATACGCGCGTGCACGCATGTCGGACTTTTGTGCACGCGTGTCGGACATAAATCACGGCTGTGATTGGTCAGAATACCACGGGGCGGTGCTTACTGGATCGGTCCATTGAAAACCTGATTTGACTTGGGACTGAATGACTTGTGCACGACTGACTTGCGGAAGACTTGTGATGACTAATGATTCTCACAAGTAGGCCTATATACCTAAACTACAACACTGTCTGTACGGATCCTTCTTGCGCAGCCAACACGGTTCTCAACTTCTCCATCTGCTTACATCGGTTTGGAGGCTTCTTCATCCTGACCGAGATGTCGACCTCCTTCATACTGTGCGTCCTCTCTTGGCTCAACTACTGGCTGGATCCGGACCAGGCGCCCGCTAGGATCTCGCTTGGGATTACCACTGTGCTTGCGGCCATCACGCATGCAAACAGTGCCACGAAGAGGGGGTTGCCGGCGCTGTCCTATGTAACGGTGAGATTTCAAAAAAAAAAGTGCCATATTTTCAATGGGGAGCGCCGATAAAATCCTACAATCACAGGCACACTATATTAACTAAAAGTGTACAAATGCACCCTTCTCATTGGGGGGGGGGGGGGGGGAGACCGTTCCCGTGTACGTCAAATTCTTACATTTTGCTAGTGCATTTTTTTTATGGAAATTTTTTGGGGGGGCTAGACACATTTTTTTATATTTTTTTTTTTTTTTAGCCCCCCCCCCGTAGAACCGCCACTGTGTCTTCAATTCCCCAATTCCATGGCTCTCAGATCTCCCTAATAATTATAGACTAATTTGAGTGTAGAACTTTTATCCATAAGCTCGGCGAACGGATTTTTGGCCTATTTACTGATGGGGTGTACTCCTGATGTGATGGATTATCTGAACACTTGAGACCTTTTTCGTGCTGCCATCATTTCAGTCATGTTCCCTGTATCCAATAACAGTACTGAATGATAATGTTTTTTTTAGCAAAAAGGAACCAGATACGGAATTATAAACACTGGCTATAAAACAATATTCATACACATCCCTATGTGATTTGTTTTCGTTTTGCTGAAAGAACACTAACCTTTTTGCGATCCGTGGACAGAAATTTGAAACGGTGGTTGTGTTTACAATTCCGTAACTTACAAATTACACAAGTAACTTGAATGCTCCTTGTACTAAAAGAAAGCTTATAAATAGGGCTTTCATATAGAGATTTTTAAAAGTGCTACATGCAGAACTTCACTAAAACAACGGTCCCAACGTTTGGGTTTCGTTTTGTTTTTACTCACCCTTTATTAAATATTAGTCCCCTTCCACGAACAAAAAAACTACCAACCAACCAGCAATAATCCGTTACCTTTTGAGATTTCAGGCTTTGGATATCTGGTTTAACTTAAACGTGAACATAACAATCATCGGCCTAGCCGAGTACGGCTTGGTTCACGTTCTGACCGTCCGTGCCAGAAAACTGGAGGAGAGGCTGGAACGTACTTTGACCGGGGACAAGCAAACCCTGGCAGGCCAACCTCCACAACATGACGAGGTGGGTCTTCTCGACTTCTCGACCCGTAATGTCTTCGAGGACAAGCTTGAAAATTGTCCTGCTGATATGCTTCTCCCCTGCTTGAATTCAACTGAATTGGTTAGGGTTCGTACTCATGATCAGAGGGTCAGGGCTTTGAATCCAGCTGCTGGTCATACGTTGTGCTTGGGCAAGCAACTTAACCCCTCTTGCCTCTCTCCGTACAGGAGTAAAAATAGGCACCAGCATTAGCTGGGGAGTAACCAGTGATGGACCGGCATCCCATCCAGGAGGAATAGAAATATTCTCAACCGGACATAAATGTAGGCCCCATGGGCCGTATTGGCTTGTAACAGACTCTACTTTTTTTTGTTACACCTCTGTCTTGAATACTGTATTTTCATTGGCCTAAACGATCACTTGTTAAGTTTATAATTAACAATTGTTGACTGCTTTGATGTGGGATATGACGTTTTGAACACCCGAGGGGCGCATGTCACCCGAGGCGAGTGTTGCTAGTAGCCCCGAGGGTGTTCAAAACGTCATATCCCACATCACAGCAGTCAACAATTGTTTTGTTATACCTCTGTTTTGATTTCTTTGGATTGTGATGTAAAAATCACGAAAACAAACGGCAGTAAACACAACAATCATGACAATCTAACGGCAACTCACATGCATGTCGTGTGCTCGAAACAGCTGATCGTCTGCTAGTTCGCTGCCCCCACTCATGCGTGAAAACATGGTGAAAATAGCGTGGGTACCAACGATACAAGCGTTTCACACCGTACGTACTGTATGTGCTAAGTCATAGCACACTGGGGTATCACGTACGTGATATCCCTCAGCTCAGGGAGTGTACCATGCCTTTTTATAAACTTAACACGAGATCGTTCTAGGCCAATGTAAATCAAGACAGAGGTATGAAATCACAGTTCTTTTCAGAACCACACTTCTTCACAGAAGGAATTATTCCATTGTGTATGCCTAGTCCTACCCACCAAAACCTATAAGAAAGAACTTCCCATTTAGGCCTAATTTAGCTGATTATTTCTTACTTCCATTTTGTTTTCACCTCAGACGTCTTTCGTGTTGTGCCGCGGGAGGCGTACGGAACCCAAAGATGTTGACGAGCGTCAACGACTCAGCCAGGCCGCGGTGCGGTACCGACAGTGGGCCAAACGCATCGACCACTGCATGCGGGTCGCCGTGCCGTTGCTTCTCGTGGTGTTCGTGACCGTGTTTTGCACAAAGTACACCATCCGGAATGAGGACGAATGTGCGCAATAGTTTGTGGGGAAATAAACTAAGCCGTGATTAATGTCCTACATATGGCTTCTCAAAGATATCGAATAAAAGATGTGGTCTTTTAATTCCATAATGGGCCTTATGCATGAGTTGGCCATTTTTGACGAGTTCCCTGAATGTATTTCATAATTTGCTAACTGTTTAATGGGATGGCGCCAGACTATTTATGCAGCCTTAATTTTCCTGTCATTTTTTTTTAATCTGGCTTAAATATTAAGGAATGTTTATTTACAAATTTTTAACTAATTTATTGAAGCGGAGTTGAATTAATTAGTAATTTACTTGGAATGCTTTCATTTCTCTTCGCAAGTTCCAAAAATGAAGATTTTCCTCACTTTCAATTCAATATGGCCCACTCGTAAAGGCCCATAATTATGTGTGGGGCTTCTGTATAATGAGTGGCGCAGGCGTCTATCTCATGCAGAGTGGCGCAGAGACTGGTTCCCGCTCCCTCTATTGTCCTTTGGACTTCGAATGCAGGGATCTGTATTTTGTGGGCAATATATTAAAAATACATGTACATCAGAAGTATTTCCTCCTAATGTGTGCAAATTATAATGTAGGACTAGGAAGATCTACCCATAATGCAACTAGGATCTGAAACCTTGGCCCCTGAATACGACATCACAACGACAATTAATGCAAGTGCGGAACCAGCCTATTTCAAAATGGCAACATGGCTACCACATTGATCTCCGTATGCACAGTTTGAGGGGGGATGTTTCGATTCTCGCCGAGTTCGAAAGTGTCTCTGGCAACTATCAATAATGAGAGGGGCACCACATTTCAGTATTTGAAACCTATGCAGTTGAAATGCTCGAAAAATGCCTTCGTGGAGACACTATGGCGATTTTTGTCCACTGGTTATGGTAAGAGTAAGTTTTTCTTTAGCCATGTGTTCAACTGTCATCCATGCGCAAATAGCTGAAAACATAATTTTCAAAAATGCTGGGGGGGGGGGTTATTGTAAGCAAATTTACACGAGGTCTAACATTGCTGATTTACATTAGACATTTGAATATGCAGTAGATTATCCTGAATGTCAGGACATGTTTATAGTGCTGCATATGCAGATTGCATTATGCATATTTGTACCTTATTTACATGTTTAATAATTAGTTTCGGCCATATCGGAATTTACAATGTGTTTGTATGTGAAATTATATTGGAATGGACAATGACACTCCATTAGTCTAGACTACCCGATTCAAAACGTTTACATATATTTGTATGTACTTTCATTGAAACATTTCAATGAAACAATAACTCTTAATTCGGGCGATTCACAATGCAGTGCGCCACCAAGAGTTTGCCACGGAGAGTTCATTTTTCCCCAGTGCATTGTGGGAGATGGTCGACAAATTCGCAGCGCGGGACATTTGAAATTGTTAGTTTTTCCGGCCAGAAGGTTCGTAAGCGTATGATTCGAGTATCTGTTTGCCCTTTTCTTTTCGTTTTATCAATATGGAGTTTTTCTGTAAGGCGGCAGAACGCTTTGCCCCAATCTATAACAAATTAGCTCAAGTTTTCTACCGACACTCGTTCAAATGGGCCATGTTTTGTCGACCGTGACCTTGAAAAACGAACTCTCCGTGGCAAACTCTTGGTGGCGCAAGTTGTTCATTATTGCTCCCATTGCACCAAGTTTGTTTTCTAACTATTTGTAATTTGGTTACTCATCAGTGGTATACGTTTGTACACTGCAAAAACTGTAGTGTTAATTTAACACCATTCGGTATCTATATAGGACAACACCAGTAAAATTTAACACCAGATGGTCCTATATAGATACCAACGGTGTAAATTTAACACTGCAGTTTTTGCAGTGTATGGAAGACAAAACATTTAAAGAAATGTCAAAAGCAATAAACTATGAAAGCCAGTTTGTTGTATTTTGCCTGATTCGTATTATATCAAACAAGTAGCGCAGATTATATATTCAAAACACAGCACACAAAATTTGATTTAAGAATACAGCATCGTTTGAAATATTGAGCTTTTTTCACCAACTTAGCCTAAACTTCACTCCATTTGTCATATCATCCGGCAGAGGGTTAATTAAAGTTCAACGGCGTATAGGGTTAAACTTTTTGGGGAAGGGGGCAACTGGGGGCTATTTCAGTGATACATGTATATTAACAATTATAAATGGGGGGGGGGGGGCTGACCTGAGCCCCCATCTTCCTTTAATGCCACTGATTTCATTGCGTACTTCGAATGACAATTTTGCTTGCAACAGAAAAATACAAAACACTACACACACACAAGATACAAAGAGAGGGCGCCCTCCACAATTTTAAAGGTGATGTACAGCACGTGACTGGGGCCTCAGGCTTCGTCTCGAACTCAATCTGTGGCTTCAGCCATGCAGTTTGGCAACGGGGCTGGAGCCGGGGCTGAAGCCGGATATGGATCCAAACCGGGGTTTAAAAAACGGCACTCAGCTTGCGCGCGAACGATCTCCTTTGGGGGTATACACTGGCTATCAGTCCCTCCATCGAAGATGCTCATTTCGTATGGGAGCGGTAACCATGCAGTTAGGTCTACACCGGTACCGCTCCCGAAATCAGAAACGATGACAGAGGGACTAGGACCAAGTCTATACAAAAACTACTAACATGCTACACAACCAGAAGTGATAACCGACTTTAGTTTCTATGTTGTTATGCATTTTTTTCAAAAATTGTTGGCACCTTGAAAATGTCGCGTAACTAATTTAACAGCGCCCTCATACGTTCAAAGATATGGCCATTCCTAATGAGCAATATTTTTGCGCACCTTTCTTGTGACGTCGCATATGCAAAATAAGTCCTGTTCATTCGACCATCTGTACGATGAGCCCGCGCAATTGCATAGTAACAAGGTTAGCGTCCACATCAACGAAGCTTGTCCACGCACTTTTTGCATGAGATGTGTTGAGATGTATCGCCTCCAAAAATTGCACCTACATTTTTGAAATTTTCGCCAAGAATGGACCGGATCGACAAGCGGTTTTCGGGGAAAGGTATGCCGCTAGGCCCACTTGTATACCTTTCGATTTTGACAGTGACTTGCCTGCATTTCGTCGCTGTTGGAGGACAGATTTCATCAACATCCCCTTTAATGCAATCCGTGGATGCGTCGAATTACAGGTAATATTGATATTGCTCTTTAAATTTAGAAAGTTGTTAATTTCATTCACTGTCTATTTTGTTTTACCTTGTATACGGCACCTTAAACAAATAATTAAAATTCTTCATTTTAAGTGAATACAGGATGAGTAATAAAATAAAAATACGAAACCCAAATGACAGGACCAATATTTGAATGACATTTCGCCTGTAGCACTTTCAAAATCTAGGATATGAAAGCCCAATCAGTGAGCTTTTATTAGTACAAGAATCATTCAAATCACTCATGTACTATTGAATTTACGGAATTTTGAGCACAACCACCGTTTTTAAAGTTCTGTCCACGGATCACCAAAAAGGTAAGTGTTCTTTCAGCAAAACGAAAACAATTAACATTCTCACCCTGTATAGGATCTTTAGTATTTAACCCAAAGTAAACCTAGTCCGAATATCGCTGAATTGTCATCAAAAAGCTTACTTAGGTCAAACATCTTACTGGTACTTATCACCACGTGATATTATTCCATCTGGCTTGCTGTCATTTTCGAAGGAATCAAGAAAATGCAGACCTACACGATATCCAATGTTTAGTCAATTGACTGATTTGTGAAAGTGCTATCGTCCAAATCGTTTTTCGTGATCAAAAGGTTGTGCATTGTTTTTCACTGTTTTCTCAAAAAGTGCAATATCAACTGAGCTGAAACTTCAACAGGTTAGGTTTTGAACGTTCTTCTTTGGATTTTGAGTAGTGTTATTATTGGAAACGAACAACTTTCATGCACTAAAAGAAAATGCTTTTAACGCCATAAAGTGAATGGCACAATTTTTGGGACCGATAGGGAAAATATTCGGGGGAATTGTGCCCTTGATGATTTGAAAAAAAATATATAAGTAGAATAACATGCAATTTCAAAATGGCTGCCATTGCTTGTTATTCTAATAATAATAATAACTGTATTTATATAGCGCCTTTTCCAAAGGATACAAAGCGCTGGGGGAGAATGCAACCAAAGACAGGTAAATGAAGTATATGAACAAATGAGACCCATTATGCAGCACCTTTTTTGCTACGTGCTGCGGCGCACATCTACCTATATAAAGGACAAATCTGCAGCAGACAAATGTCTATCTCATGACACTCTCTGACTGTGTGCCAAATGCCATGCTTGTATCATCAAAGGCACAATTCCATCACCTATCTGCCGTACTGAATGTTGAATTATACATGTCAGTACCAGCATTTTACCATCAAATATTCACAACGATTTTGTTATGAGGTCAGCGATTAACATAATGTTTTTAATATTGTAATGTCCAGCAAGGTTTGTGTTAAAGCTGCTAATTAAAGGTGTAAAAATGTGTATAATTCTGAGAAGGGTAGGGGCGGGGCTAGGAGGGAGGGGCTTGCATCAATGAGTATTGCCTTCTGAGCAAAAACAATATATACAAACAACACTCTAATGGGTAAATTTAGACAAACAAAACAGACACAACTTTAAAGTTAACAACGATTATTATCTTTCAAATAATTTTTATAGACCATACGTGAATTTTAAAAAGGTTTTGTCTCAAAACGATTACAGAAACGCATAGCCTACAATTATAAAAAAAGACGAGGATTGTTTTTTTTTTTTTTTTTTTTTAATCTCTGGACAGTACCACGGGGTTTTGGTAAATGTGACCAAAAAAAAAATCAAATTGTGTCCGCGTTCGATATATAAATTTTATTACTTTGTATTACCATCTAAATTTTGAATATCATCGTTAAAATTGATAAGGCAACGTCTGTGACATGAATATTTGTTCTAATGTGAAAATAATGAGGGTCGTGGGAAATATATGTCATCGTAAAATCCCCCCAACCCCCCTCCCCCCTTCATACTCCTAATAAATATGACGAACTATCATGTGCCCCAGTTTGTCTTTCCCTGTTTGGTAATAGCTGCAACGGTGCAATGTTATTGTGTCCGCTGGCCGGAAAAAAACCTATTTCGGCGCCAATTTTATTCTTC